ATCATTGCTTAGCCTCACAGATGTCATTATTCTGTATAACGTGTCCTTATTCACAACAAATATGTTATTCTATCTTCATCTCAAATGTGTTCGTCAAAAATGTTAGACATTATATTGCTGATTCCAACCGTACGACAAGACAGAATGAACAATGCTGGGACTTCCACTTGAAATCCAATAGATTAGGTAATCAAATCATGACAAATCTACAGTTTTAGGATAAGGTCTATTATTATGGCAGTACTAATAGTATATCAAGACCACAGTTCTGCACATGCATATACACGGTGAATGACAATAGACAACTTGTGATCAAGACACACAGTGACCAGGAAATCATTGTTGACCAAAACTTGAAAACTGCTGCATCCAGCCGTGATATAGTTGCCGAAGGTTTGTGAAACCTACGCTCAATACATAGAGCCTTTAGCCATATCAAGGCTATATTTTTTTGACTTTTTGTACAGTGTGCGTATGTCCTAGGCTCGAGTACTACATACAATCCCAACACTTGAATAGACAAGTCTCACTGAACCCATCGCACATCGAAGCAGCACGTAGATTTTCCCATATATCATCCCACCATCAATCGAATAAATTAGGATGTCCATTAGACAATTCAAGAGTAATGGGAAAGCAGAAGAACCTGACGACATACCGATGAAGCACTGAAGTCGGGTATCTAAATGACTGCAAACAAACTCAACGTTCTATTCAGGAAGATTTGAGGGAAAGAGAGTACAGTCTGAGACGACCAAATGTACATGAACAAAAAATTACAGAATCTCTTGAGAAAATCTGAGAACCATATAGTAAACTCCGTCTTTGTTAATTATCAACCAATTGTTTCACACTTGAATGTTCCCTCATTTCCACACCAATCATTGTCTATTCTCATTCTCTCCCCTTCTATCTTCTTAACCTTCTGCCTCCAGCAACATCACTTTCGATTAGTGATACGTACCACTTATATCTCCCAATATCAGGAGGCCAACTGACAAACCCATTACAAGTGAAGACCGGTGTCAGACAAGGCTGATTAGTGTCACCCTTTCTATTTCTTCTGGTGGTCGATTAGATTATGGAGACCTCCACATGTGATGGGGATCACGAAATACGAAAGACAGCTTTAATGTGGTTAGACAATTTGGACCTCATGGATAACATAGCTCTCCTACGCCATACACACGAACAAATGCAGGTCAAGACAACTAGTGTCGCAAGAACCTCTGCATCAGTAAGCATCAATATATACAAGGAAAAGGACAAGTTCCTGAAATACAACACAGAAAACACCAACTCAATCACAGTTGATAGAGAAACTCTACAAGAGGTCGAAACACTCACGTATCTGGGTAGCATCATCGATGAGCATGGAGGATCTGATGCAAAAGTTAAGGCGATGATTGACAAAGCGAGGGTCGCATTCACGCGATTGAAGACCATATGTATCTCGAAACAACTGCCAACCAATATCAGAGTCAGAATCTTCAATACCAGCGTCAAGATCGTTTTATTGTTCGGAACTGAAAATTCGAGAACTACTACATCCACCACCGAAAATGTACAGGTAATTATAAACAATTGTCCACGCAAAATATTCAGTGTCCGTTGGCGATATATCACAAAAAGCAGCCTACTGTCAAAGAAAACAAACTAGCTTCCAGCTGATGAGGAAATCAAGAAAATATGTTGAAGGTGACTAGGACATACATTATGGAAAACATCAAACTGCATCACGAGGCAAGTACTCACATGGAATTCTGAAGGGAAACGAAAAAGCGAAAGACCGACGAATGAATTACGTCGGAAATCGGAAGAAGAAATCAAGCAGATGGAGTGCAGCTCAAAGCAAATGTAAAATATCACCCAGGACAGAATTCAATGCAGAATACAGGTGAGCAGCCTATGGATCTGTATGAGGGGTAATAAGCTTGAATAAGTAAGCATGTATGTAAGCAAGTAAATCTCATGAATATCCCGTCGTCGAGCTCCACTGATTTATGAATCTTATCCTTCGACAACAACACTGAACTATTACGCTGCAAATCACCATATACTAATTTTTATACCCGTAAAGATGGTATGTAGACTCTTTTCAGAAATATATTATTAGCATTACTTAGGGCTGTTAAGTTGAGGTTCTACGTTTAAGTCGAATATGTATTTCAGTCGTTACAACGTGAATATAAGATGTATATTCACCAAATTCCAAAACTTCCTATGAAAAGAATGGAGTTGACATAAAGTTAAAGTGACTCAGTAGTCACATGCTGAGTTGCGAAAGTTTGCTCAAATGATAGAATGAACCATATAGTTATGTGGCAGTACCAGACACTGCAATTCCAATAGTTTTGGAGTGCAGATGGAAGTACTTTATATACACACACTTCAAGTGAGATCTTGTAAGAAAGTTCAAATTAAGTGAAACGTTCTGCTGTCAAACTTGCCAACAATGCTCTCCAACGTCACCAATTTAGTGTTCGCTTGAAGGGAATTTTTATCGCAGTTAGAGTAACACTTCAAAACATCTGGCATCAACACCCCTAGACATTTTCTAACTTGAGATGCCTCAAGAAGAGAACCCCCCAAGTTGTATGCATAGTCTACAACTTGTCTCAGTTGAACTATTTTAAACTTCAAAGTGTGGTGAGTCTGTTGTCATTGGCCCAACTATGATGTCGAGTCAGATCCTCCCGAGATGCCAGCTCATCAACTTGGTTGAGAACTTTTCTTCAAATTTTCACGTATTCAACAGAAAGTAATAACTCATACAAGACTTGCCGAGGAAGATCATTCCCTTAGATTAATGAAATAATAGGCCTGGTAATGAACCCTGGGAGATCTCAGTAGGACATTCTATAGTCTGATAAAAACTAAAGTTTACCGTAGTCTTAAATAGTCGATCATTTAGATGTGGAGTAAATTGGTTAGTCAGAGTGACTTGATACCGTATTCCGTGTTTCCCATCACATGTGGAGGTCTCCATAATCTAATCGACCACCAGAAGAAATAGAAAGGGTGACACTAATCAGCCTTGTCTGACACCGGTCTTCACTTGTAATGGGTTTGTCAGTTGGCCTCCTGATATTGGGAGATATAAGTGGTACGTATCACTAATCGAAAGTGATGTTGCTGGAGGCAGAAGGTTAAGAAGATAGAAGGGGAGAGAATGAGAATAGACAATGATTGGTGTGGAAATGAGGGAACATTCAAGTGTGAAACAATTGGTTGATAATTAACAAAGACGGAGTTTACTATATGGTTCTCAGATTTTCTCAAGAGATTCTGTAATTTTTTGTTCATGTACATTTGGTCGTCTCAGACTGTACTCTCTTTCCCTCAAATCTTCCTGAATAGAACGTTGAGTTTGTTTGCAGTCATTTAGATACCCGACTTCAGTGCTTCATCGGTATGTCGTCAGGTTCTTCTGCTTTCCCATTACTCTTGAATTGTCTAATGGACATCCTAATTTATTCGATTGATGGTGGGATGATATATGGGAAAATCTACGTGCTGCTTCGATGTGCGATGGGTTCAGTGAGACTGGTCTATTCAAGAGTTCTTCAAAATGTTTTACAAACCTGTTAGTGTGTTCCTGAATTGCATAGATTGGCTAATCGGGATTCAAAGACCAATACATATTACCACGTTCATGTCATACTTAATATAGTGATAAAATATTTATTATCTGATCGCCTACTTGAAGAAGGCTTATCGACCCCTATCATCTTGGCTGCAGTAGGACTCTGTCCTGTACTATGTGTCTGATAGACATTTTTTACGAACTTGCTCACACACATGACCTAAGGCTACTGGTGGTCCTGCCATATTTGATATCAAGAAAGTCTTTGATAAAGTGCCTCGTAATCTCTTTAGTAACAAACACAAGTCTATCGGAATTATTAACCCTCTTTTGCAATGGATTAAATTTTTCCTCCTGTGCAGATACCAAACAACTAAAGTCTACCCTACGACATCTACACCTCACCAATAACCAGTGGTATTGTGATGGATGGTTTCTTAGGTCCACTGCTTTTCACAATATACATCAACAGTATAAGCAGGGGCTTCAATACGAGTGATAACTGTCTCTATGCTGTTGACTAAAAGGTCATCTATAAAACTAACACTTGTGACTTAAAAAGTATTGCACAAACAATTCTATGTGAACTCAATGATGCAAATAGTCGGTGTAAGCGTTAGGGCTTAGAGCAGAACGAAGATCAATGTGGCCGGCTATGTTACTCGGAAAATTCAAAACAAAACTCACACTTATCAACATGTAGTGCCAGAACTCGTATCCGCATCTTACCTTCAAGTGCATTACTCAAATGGTCTAGATTTCTTTAAAAATATCGCCAAAAGTCGCAAAGTTTTATCCTCCGTAACCCTTTTCAAAATTAGTCTACAATTATTCCTTACAGGGTATGTGTGAGACCCATAATTTGGTTCTTTTCGTTCTTATTTTCCAACTTACTATTGGAAACCGATCAACTTACTGAGTATCCTTCCCCATGTCATACCTTAGGAATCGAACTCCTCTGGAAACAAAAGAATCAAACACAGCGCTCGAAAATCTTTCGCAGCGGTAGCATTGTCATGCGCAGATTTTTCAAGTTATGACATTTTACTATTCATAAGTCTTTTCCTTCTTCTTGTACGGTAGTGTGCGTACTTATGTAGACCGTCGCACAGACTAATTCGCATTAACAAACTGTTGTCCGAATCCGCTCCTAATGGCCTCCAACTTGTGTGCTGAATCAGAACTTTGGAATATTGTAATCTTTTCTCGCGAGTCACACTTTTTATTAATCTAAAACGTTTTTTTTGTTTTTATTTTGCTTTAGCATATCACGAATTCTATCTGAAAATTTTGATGGTTAGTCAGTAACATAAAGAGCATCTCTCTGATTGAATTTTACTATTTCTTCAATAACTATATGTATCAACATAAAAAAGTTGAACGTGTTTTAATGCACCACGAAGTATGTATTCCGCCTTGGAAAGGTCGAGGCAGACGTTTGATGTAATGCTTGCATACCTGTTCGGACTGTGTTTTTAGTTGAGGATATATATACATTTTATAATCACCAATCAGTAAACAGTTATGGAGTGGAGCGAACAGTACGCACAATCAATGGGCAATATTAAACCCGAGAATTTCGATATGGGATCAGTAATAAAACGAGAAGGTTTCGATATGGCTGTTGTTTCTCAAAATGAGTGAGTTTATTCTGTCATTTATATTATTGCTAGTGTAATGGTCTCTTTGTCAAGCGATGGGGGTACGACAATCCTTTCTACTGGAGAAATGAGGTAAGAAATATTCTGTATAAGGTTGTTTCTCTACATTCGCACGACGAAAAGTATCATCTACTGGGTCCCACTTTTTCAGGAACGTTTGATCGTTGTCAGCAAAAACAAAACAAATATATGTGACGACTACATTACTCTGAGGCTAGCAGGATGTACGTCCACTACGTATCAAACGGATTGACATTATTCACTCTTGATTGCTATATTATTAGTCATCGATGGTATTTAGATTCCTTCATTTGTGCCTATCGTCATGTCGTATATGAGGCTGTCATTCTACTTTTTCAGTGTATTATTTTGATTGCGAGACTGATCTAACAAACTTAATAAAGTGAAAAAGTATGGATAATGAATAATCGTCTACATGTAAAATGGACAGGAGAATAACAATCTAATTAAAACATTTGGGGGTAGAACTTGTTTGCATAGCCTATGGATAAAATCATCTAAATTAGTCATCACTGTACTGAGTTTTGTAAAGTGTACTGTGGATGAATAAAAAGCTTTCGCTCCCATGTAGATACCTCAGTATAATAACATTTTTTTAAGAATCCGTGTTCACTGCGCTTTGGTCATTTGTTTATTCCCTCCGTACACATTGGTAATTGATTGTATTTAACCAACTAGCTAATGTTTCGGTTATGTGACTAGATTTGATTCCATAGTACTCTAAGTAGGTGGAATTCTCAAAGTCAGTCTAGCATTGCTTATAGGTCATCCATAAATTATAGTTTCACTCATTCATAAAAAATGAAGTGTAATTTTCTACAGTATACTCTTATGGAATACATTTTTGAGGTTGTGGGGCAAATGAAATAGCATCTATGTATAACTTAAACAATAGTGTTTTTCTTATTCAATCGTTGATCTAGTTACTCCATTTATTGAGGCTACTCCATTATTCTGCATATTTTTTCGCCCGAATTCATCCCCTCCTTTCAAACTATATTCTTTAATGTTTAGTCTTTCCTATAATTATTGATTCTGCTGTTACTTGACTCTTGTAATTCGCCTCATTTTGCTAATTATATCTCTAGGACTTGGGCTGACACATTTGACACCGGCTCTTTGTCAGTTATGATTAACTTGATCGTTTGTCCTATGTACACAGTAACGCAAACAAAACCTTGTCGACTTGCATGACTTAGCTATTTTTGTGCGTCGTAGAGTGTAGTTAAGAAGTCAGTCAGTCACAACGTAGAACTTCGTACGTATGTACATCAGTTCGAGTTGCCATACCACATTAGCACAGAGATGCAGTTGTCGATTCAAATCCCATAGTGGTAGAAGTAGTAGGAGTATAATCAGTAATCCAAAAAGATTAGGATTTAAAGAAATTATTGAAGGAGTATAGTACAGTGAAATAAATTTGGAAAGAGAAAAAGATAAAGACATGAGGAATTCAGAAGATTATAATTTGGTAGAACACAAAGAGTGGATGCACCTTCGCCATTGCAAACGATTTTGAGCCATGTCATTCAAGGTCTCTAACCATCGGTTGCTGTCATCTCGCGAATCCCAACCAGGTAGTCTACACCTACCAACATGGCCCAGTCCACTTGTCAGTGACTTCATAGATTTGTGCCACGTTTTGGTCTGGCCACCCCTAGCTTTCTTCCAACCTACTCCTACACCATGAAACATTGCACGTCGGGGCAGTCGGTGGTCGGGCATACGTAACATATGTCCCAGCCATCTCAACTGATGAAGTTTCACTACTTCATCAATCGATTTGTCATCCCTACCTAGTACTCGTTTCCTAACAACTGCATTACTTACCCGGTGGTCCCAGGATATACGAGCAATGCTTCGAAGACACCTATGATCGAACACTAGTAGCCCACGAATATCCTCTACTCTTATCGGCCATGTTTCACTGCCATAAAGTAGGACGGAACGAACTGCTGCACAGTAAACCCGTCCTTTTGTTGCTAGACGGATATTTCGCCTACGCCATAAATGACGCAAGTTGGCGAAATCTAGACGAGCCTTCTGTATCCGTGCTGAGATTTCGTCACATACCAGACCACAAGGGCTGATGAGACTCCCAAGATAAGTGAAGTGGTCTACACGCTCAACTACTTCACTCCCTAGTTAAGAAACGTCTTCAAGAGTCGAGATCTACGATATACACAAAACGTATGTGGTATCATTTGTCCTAGGGATTATTCTAAAGAGTTTCTGTCAAAATATCAATGATTTTTTTAGCTTGACTACTATTCATACATCGCGTGGTCACTAAATTCTAGGTTTCACGAGGGTGTGTGAATAGTAGTTTTGCGGGGGAACATTAATAATACGAAAATAGTTCAACAAATCCAAATTGAAACCTCCAGGTTCCTAAAACATTGGGAATCCTCATGTTTTTAAAAAAAACGTTTCCTTAACTTATCTTAACGCTTCCAACTGCTAAAGTCAGCTTTCAGTTAACCATTTCCTTCTTTCATTTAGTAACGGAATTTTGCAAGTTCCGTCAAGTGATGGACTTATGGGTTCTCCATCGGCGAAAGAAATTGAACGTTTCAATAATCTTTCCGAGGAGGAACTAAAAAACAAATCCCTTCCTGATCACCTTAAAGAGGGACTTGATATTGTTATAGTGGGGATTAACCCTAGCTTGGCCTCAGCACATGTCGGACATCACTATGCTGGTCCTGGAAATCATTTCTGGACATGTTTATCACAAGCTGGTTTGGTTCCAATGGCTGTCAGTTGCTATGATGATTCTAAAATGTTGGATTACGGTATCGGATTCACCAATGTTTGTACAAGACCAACCAAAGGTGCAGCTGAACTTACACGTAAGGAGATGAAGGCTGGTGCAGCAATCATGCTTGAAAAAATGAGAAAATACAAGCCTAAAATTGCCGTGTTCAATGGTAAAGGTGAGTTACTGCCATTAAATTAGGTTTTGTTATTTTAAATAGCACTTACTGTTTTATGTAGAACCTGACACGTATTCAGTGGTGCCGTGCTACATTAACACAATGAGATGAGATTGTGTATAGAAATCCTAGAGTAAGTACGATTCGTAATGATATTAGTAATCCTACTACTCTGATATGTCTCATCTCTCTGTGTTAATGTGATGTAGTAACTTGAACCAGTATACACATGTCCCAGGTTCCATGTTGTGTATGGCTGAGTAATTTTACTTATTATTGTAAAACTACTGATATTCTTTTGCTGTTCGCAACAGTAGAATAAAGCAATGACTTGATGGTTGAAGCGCTTCCCTTATGGCCACAATGTTGTACGTTCAAATTCCAAACCACCTTATTTAAGCAATATCATTAGCTATTATATTTAAAAAGATAACTCAAATACAAATTCTCAAACGTTTACTTGAGTGTTAAGTCACAGCAAGCAAGAATCAAAATTTTTAATTCTCACACTGAACGTAGTTAGATATGCGTGCTTCCGGATATTCAAAGATGACGGATGCCTCAAATATGTACCATAAAAGTCGTATCCCAGTGAAATCGTGAGAATTTTGAACCATAAAAGTCAGCTAAACGTATATATATATATAGTTAAGAATACTCGTTTTTCTGTGGCATAGTGCGTTTTGCCTAAACTTTAATGCTAGTAAAACAAAGTCGTCTAACAAGACGAATTGTAATATTTTCAAGATAACCTTCATTAGCTCCACGTTACTAGTATATTGATGTGATATTGGTGAGAATAATGGTCATTCGAGAAAACGTAACTTGCTTTCATCACATCTTAGTATAATTTCATCTTTGGATCTCTTTTATATGGTAACGACTAATTGTAACAGCATTTACTTTTTATTCTGACAAGCTTCAACTAACATTTATGAAATATTCTTTGAAAGAAACCAGCATACATAATGAGTTAAAACGATGCAATTCATCAAGTTTATTATGATGAGCTTCCTTTTAGTTATGAATATGAACACTTTGCGACTTCGTGTTAGTGTTTCATGTTAACTGGATTAAATAACTATTATTTCAGTCTTGTCTTCCTGTACCTAAATGCTCAAAATGGATTATTAGCATTCTTTTCCATTATTTTTTTCTATAGGCATTTATGAAGCGTATGTTGGACATAAAAATTTCTGCATGGGAAGACAACCTACAACTTTGGATGGTACAGACATAGTAAGTTATATTGCAAGCTTTTACAAGTTGGAAAACTTTTTATTCAGTTGTTTTTTTCTTTGTATTTAATTAACTTCGTGAGGTGGCCATGATATCAGTGATATAGTGTTTATTATGTTTGTCCCTTGACTCACTTGTCATTGTTTAATTAATGAGTACTTATCGAGCTTATTTACTTTAGTATGTGTTCGTCAAACAATTTGTCTCAAAATTATTAATGCAATGATGGACTTTGTGTGTTCTATTTTAAGGAATCAGCAAAGCTAGATAAAAACTTGAAGTAGACACTATCTAGGTTAATATGTTCATTGTATTTGTAACAGTGACATCTTAGATGCCTTAATACATGATCATTTAACTTTATGTTTCATTACAGGTCATTTTTGTGATGCCTTCGTCTAGTGCACGATGTGCACAACTTCCACGTGCTGAAGACAAACTTCCATTTTTTTTAGCTTTAAGAAAACTACGTGATTATGTACGTGGTGATTTAGCTGAATTACCTGATTCTGAAGTAGTGTTCGCTGATTATACCGAATTTCGTGTTACTCAACCAGATCCCAAAAGTTTACGTAAAGCTGAACGACGTCGTAAACGAAAAGCTGAAGCGGCAGCAGCGGCCGCTGCTGCAGCTCTTGCCGTAAATTCTGGTGATGGAACTTTAGTGAATGGAATTGTTTCAAGTCAAGTTGACAGTGGTAATGTTACAACAGTTTCTCAAGCTTCAAATGGTGTATCCGCTGATGGTAAAGTAAAATCTAAAGCAAAACGTAAGTAATATCTATAGTGTCAAATGAATTATAAATTCTTTTTTATATTTCGTTACAAATATGTTCTTTTTATTATTTCCGATATAAAATTTTATTGTTTTGTGTAGAACTAATCATATTGAAGACCTTTCTTCAAGACAATATTAGGAATCACACTGACATAATACTAATCATAACATTTTTCTATTAATATGATTGCATACATGTACATATATGATAAACACTGGATTCGGCTAAATAAGTTGTAAATGATGGTTGTACTGTTTTTTAATGGCCAACTGAAATGTATTTTATTTATTCACCGGAAAGTGTTAACACTTGTTAACTAATTCTGTTTTTGATGTATTTTGCAGTCCATTATATTCAACTTCGTCCTATTTAAAGAATCAGTAGTTTTATGACCAATAAGTTAACTTTAATAAATGTGAAAAAAATATCCAGGTTACTAGTGTTCGACCATACTTGTCTTCAAAGCATCGCTCGCGTACTTTTGGACCACCGACTAAACAATGCTTAGACCTATGGAGTTAGTCCATCTGGACCAGCTGTCTCTTCCTCGTTTCAGATTAGGTATAGCTTTTTGAACTTTAACTGTAGTTGTGGGACCTACTTCAATGTTCTATTCAGGTTGTTTGAGATTGTGTGTAGTTGTAGAGTATCTGATTGACAGATGAACTGCTCCTTATAGTGTTCAACCCATCGTTCTAAAGTCCTGTGCTGGTAGCAGATAAGAATGCCATCTTTTACCGAGATCGTCCCACTTACACTTCAGTTTATTTTATTAGTCTGAAAATCTGTTTTGTGTTGCCCACAGCCTCTGCCTTTTCCATCTCTTATACTTTCGTTTCCCATCACTGCTCACGGTCGTTCCTTGGACTTTTGGTTAACCTAGATCTGATTTGTTTTCGTTCTTCATCGTGTTCGGAGCCTGATGGGATGAGTTTACGAGAATCGATCAGTTCAATAGACTGAGCAGAAATCCAATGATTTTTTGTGACCCTTTGGTTCAAATCACTAATAGATGTTACTGCTTTTTCCACAGCTGTTCCTATATCTTCCCAAGCAACATTTGGGTCAGCCTCGTTTTCAGAACTACCTAAGTGTGAGCCCAGTTGTTCCTGGAATCTAATTTTGGCTTTCTCGTCACTGAGTTCAACTCTAATAGGTCTTCTTAATGTGGTTTTTCTGGAGTGAGGGCAAGCAAATGTGTGCTCCTATTAAAGCATGATCAAAGTCCAGACAGGCATTCCGGAACGAGCGACAGTCTTCTATCGAGCCTCTCCAACGATGACTGATGGCAATATAGTCTATTTGAGTCCATCGTTGGTTTGATGCGGACGGTCGCCATGCTTAAAATTAGTGCTTGTTAAAAATAAACGGTCGTCTGAGCACAGTTGCAGCTGACTACTACTTATAGTGTTATTGCTTCTACTAACCTGGGATTTGTCTTGAAGTAACTTTTTCACCGATGCACATATATGTCGGCTTCCTATGTTGCCTGTGGTGGACTGATTGGGTATATGTTAATCATCACTGACTTTTCGTAGATATGAACATTTAGCATAATTTGTAGGAATCAAAGACGGATGCTGAATAGAGAAATTAGTTAATTCAAATACTACTGATCCGTTAAGGTTTATTCCACGGTATTATACCACGATATGGAGATGTGCTATCGAAGTTGTGATGATTAGTAGATGGTTATGTAATCAAGTGTAAGTTTATCCTGAATCGTTTATGTAATTGTGAATAATACTAACAGGGTCATCAAACCTAAGTAGCAGGTACATGGTTAATCTACGACCTGTTGGTTGATAACTATTTCAAATACTGAACCACTGTAGCAAAACAATAGATAGTTGATTTATTATGCAATTCTATATTGTTGAGTCCCTAAGATTATCCCTTCCAATTGACTAAATGTAAATTCAGAGTCCCGTTAGTTTATGCACAGTCCTTGATTTCCTTATCGTAACTGTAGTTTGGCGTTTTGTGTATTTCATTTCTCATGGTCTACATTTTCTAAAATAAAAGAACTAAGATACAAACCGATATAAAAACTTGTCTGATTTCTTGGTAAAACGACCTGAACTGATGGTGAGTGTGAGAAAAATACAGTATGAGAAACTTTAATTAATGACACTAGTTATTTTCTCAGATATCTGTAAATAAGGTTAGAATTTATCGGGTAGTGGCGCAGGAAACATTTTAACCCAGTTTCATTTTAATATTAAGATAATTGAAAGTAGAATGGAAGATCTCAGTTAAACAAGAATGTATTAACCAATAAAGTTATAGCTATCTCGACAATGTATCATACTAATGTATTACTCATTTACTCATTCAAACACATAAACATTGGTACAAAAAAGCACCAAATATATATGCACCGCACAAATCATTCGATGTGTAAGAGATAGAATACTTCCCGGACGCCCAAGCAAGTGGTTTTATCAGAAGACCGTTCCCTAAACCTTTGACCTAGAGGTCTAATCCACAAGTCAATGAAGCAACGTTTGGAAATGCAGTCCCGTAGTAGCCGGTTACCAATGGTAGGTTCGTATTCCATTTGTTCCCTCAGGATCCTGGAACCCATTTGCATCATTGGTTTGAAATCAAGATTTTCCAACTCCCCTAGCTAGACCTTCAGAGTGTTCACCAACTCGGTTAAAGCGCCGGACATTCGCTTTTCATCCTCTCAATTTGGTAAACAACACCATCGCCGCAAAAAGTCAGTGGGTAGGACTTCCCTGACAGTGGCTGTATACGCGTGGCCATGGGAGAGCATTTAGAGAGTGAGCTGACTCTCTCCGCCCTCGGCTGTACCAGGGCGTTGTGGGCAGATTGCTCAAGATCTTGTGTGACTACGGACCATTTTACTTCGTCTTTTCGAACTTCATTCTGAATAATTAGTCTTTCTTATTGCAATTGTTGCTGCTGCAATCATTTCAATTTCTTTGACTCTTCATCTTGTTTTTTTCGTTTTGTCGTGGTGATATAGTGTAGCAAATTAAGTCAGAGTATATTTTGCGTATCAAATTTTATGTTGATCACAGCTTGACATTATATACTTTGTTCTTTATCTTCCCTTAAACCTTGAGATTAAAATCGCTTCGTATCTGTCTTCCTGTTATATATCCTTATACACAACCTTTCTTTTATGTATTAACACTACTAAATTAACTACTTCTATGAATCCGGTGTTCATCTTGTTGTGCTAACGAGGTATGGCAACTTGGACCGATGCATATATGTGCCTGGTCCTACGTTGTAGCTGACTGACTGATATACTTTGTTACGTAATTGTAGGATAGTTCCATCATGTTATTATTAAAATGTGTCTCTATTTTGTTAATTTTAATATTTTTAATGGTTCTCATTCCCCTTGTACTATGAAGGATTTTGATTGACAATCTAATCACTCATCTTTTTTTCTGCACTGCTTACCTATGATTCAATTATTCTACTTCCAGTCATTTTATTATGGTTTTCACATTTATAATGATTTATACAACCTGATAATATTAATCTGTTTTTACATGAATCTATACATGGTCGCCTAGTAGTTGTAATATGATTGTCAGTCCTCATGAATTAACAGTTTTATTATTATTATTATTATTATTATTATTATTATTATCATTCATTCTGACTATTACTCCATTTTAACTCACAAAAGATGTCAAAAATAAATTTAGTTAACAATTAGTCATTTGCTGTAGATGTAAGTCCTAGATGTTCCATGAGACGTGTGTCGCCATTCTATTGTCCCATTTCTTATCATAACCATCCATCAATGTTCTTTTTAATCTATATTGTTTGCCACTTTAACGGTTCACTTACCTTTTCACTTTTCAATGTCGTCTAGTTCAAAATAATCAATCAGTTTGATAGTGACTTGGAATTTAAACGAAGCAAGAATTCTGATATCTAGTGATTGTGTGTGTAAATAACTTTGATTAGGTAATGACTATTTTAAAATACTAACTTATTGTAGTTCTCAAATTTGTTTGTGAATCGGTGAATCTTCATTAACTGAGGTGACTGAGACATTTTTCGCGTTTGCACAACCACCTCTTATTCTGATATACAGTGGTAATGGGTTAGAAGAAAGTTGTGGATACCTAGTTCGTGAAGTTGTTACTGTCCATTTGTCTAATCTGCTTTGGTAGGTGCAAATAACCTAGTTAATGTTATAAATATGATAATCATGATCAATGACCGGAGATGCTGAGTGGTATGTTTCAAAATCATTTGCAGTGACCTGGGTGCATTTAATCATTATTTTCCCAGTATATTTCAGCGTAATCCCATACTCCTCACCCTACAAGTTCATGCCTTTATTCTTCATAATTAATCTCATGCTATCGTTAATACTACTGCCAAATGCCCTGGTACGGCCGAGAGTGGGGAGAGTCCGCTCTCCCTCTCCAAATGCTTTTACATGGCCACGCGTATATAGCCTCTGCCAGGGAAGTCCTACTCACTGCCTTCTCGTGGCGGGGGTGTTGTTTACGAAATTGAGAGGACGAAAAGCGAATGTCCGGCTCTTTAACCGGGTCGGTGGACAAGGCGAGTCCACCTAGGGGAGTTGGAAAACCCTGATTCTAAACCAATGGTGCACATGAGCTCCAGTATCCTGAAGGAACAAATGGTGTATGAATCATTCGTTGGTGACCGGCTACCATAGGACTGCATCTCCTCACGATGCTCCACTGCCTTGTGGATTAGATCTTTAGGTCAAAGGCTCTGGGTGTGGCCCATTAAGAAAACCACCTGTTTCGGTTTGGGCCCCTGGGAAGTATCACAGCCCTCACACAAATCTCATTTGATTTGTGTGGCGCATATGTATCTGGTGCTTCTTTGTACCAATATTTAGGTGTTTAAATAAAATAAACTGCCATCTTATTTCGACGTTTTTGCCATTCATCTAATCTTGCTGATATAGTATGTGAACTCAGGTTTGTGCTCCAAGTTTTGCTTCATTTATGGTTGACTGA